TAAGTTTGTGCACAGATGGAAGGCTGACAGGCAGGTAGGCCATCCAGTTACTTTAGCCGGCCCGGCTAAAATGATTGATGACATTTTTGTATGGATATTTTGTCAAAGCACTTAAGATATTCATTGCTATCGGGATGTTAAGAGCATTCCATGGAATATAACAAAAAGTGTATCTCGAGCCGGTTTCTCAAACTTACCTACCCCACCTTTAATTGTTTGTCCTAAATATAGCAATATATGCTTTTGAAATGTAACATGTCTTTGAATAAATAAGTTTATATTGTGTATCAAGTTTATATTGTGTATCACCTTTAGCTTGAAAATACATAGATGTGTTTTTTTTATCTATAAAATAAATAAATAGACAGACAGACACTTTATCGATCCCAAATTGGGAAATTATTTTACAGCAGCAGTGTGTTCAGGTATTAAAATATTTAAAGTTGGAATAAAGTATAAACTACACAACACAAGTATAATGCACAGCAATCCATAAGATAAGTCCGATATTTTCATGAAAACTCCCCAGGAGGCACCAACACTAACATGGCCGAGTTGACTCCGGAGTTTGCTGCATGAGTTGCACTGTATGATCTGTGGTGTAGTGGGCTGTCACTCAAAATCTGAGTAGCCAATGGGGACGCACCCCTGAAAGTCCCGCCTACCTGGGACGTGTCAGAATCGCAAACAAAAAATGAGGGAGCACAAACGAGAGAGCTGCAGCGAGAGCAAAAGTCTGATCATTGAGAAAGAAGCAAAGAGAACTGTTTTGCTTTTTTTTCTCTAAAACTCTTAGTTTTGCTTGATTCTGAGAAAGTGTTCCTTTATCTTTATGAAACAAAACTAATCCCATAGTTAATAGCTTTGCTGTCTGTTTACATTTCATTTTTGGTAGTATGCTAAAGTGATTCTAATACGGATGGAGCCTAAATGTATTTGTTATTTTTGTGTCTTTATAGCTCTTACGTTGATATTGGAGATTTCAATAAATTCATATCATCAGTCAAGTCTTTAACCATTATTCGGAGGGAAATGCCCCCTGGAAAAATATGGCCCACCCTATTTTATACAGGCCCGCCCTAAAGTACATTTCTGCCACGCTACTGATTCACACTTGTATTTCCAGATCCACACCTGTGTTTTTCAATGCACACACAAATGTGTTCCTTTTCATATACATTATATATTTATTTTTGATCCACACATATTTGTTTTCCGTTTAAAACCGGTGCACCTGCAAACACAACCCGCTTTCTGTGCATGGATCGCTGTGCATTCATGTGTGGATTATTTGAGACTCCCCTGACGGTCACCCGATTCGTACTTGTACTTTTTTCTATCTATAGCCGATCAGATGTCTCCTCAATTCTAAGCCAAATACATAAGCGTGCCCCCACAAGGGTATGATTTATTGTGTTCTCAGGACACCTCCACTCTCAGTACATTGTCACTTTCCGAACAGGAAATGCACGCAAATACAATCTTTTATATTATTAAGGTACAGCGCCACTTTCCGAACCATTAATGAATGCTTGTGTACACAAAAACGGCAGGCAAAACCGTTTTAAATGTGTGTTTCCTGTATGGCGAATAGAGCTGCTTTATTTATGTCTGTATGAAGTTGTTGTGAGTGTGGAGGGAGCAGCTACAGGTTAGCTCTGCCTGATCGATTAGTGGCCTGTACTACGAAGCCAGTTCAACAGACCCTGGATATCTCTGAGTTATCTGGCTTAACTAACCCTAACAAGCCGTCCTACGACGCTGGTTATCAACTCAGTAAATCAACCCAGGGTTTCTCTGTCCGGCCGAGAGTGCGTTCACATGAAAGGGGCGGGGTTAGCAACATTTGACCAATCACAAACAGGGACAAGCGTACTGACAGCGCAGAGGCATACTTCATGAATGAAAAGTAAACTATAATATTAGACAAATATGAAGAAGTTAAACTTTAAACATCCATGACATAAACACTTAATCCAGGAGCAGGGGCGGACTGCCAATCTGTGTGTTCTGGAGAATCACAGAACGGCCGGTCGTCAGCGGGCCGCTGACGGCCGGTGTTGTGTCAAATTATGCACCCCCGTCCAGTGGCGTTTTTATATGTACAAAAGTGGTGGGGCACAAAAAACGTAGATGTCTATATATAAGCTTCTGCAGTGACGTGCAGTGAGGTTCATGGCTGGTGAGGCACTAGCACTGACTCTTCAGGTTTACAAATATTATATAATGACCTAAACCAAAATATAATATTATTTTCAAAAGCTTTTTTAGTCTGATGCTTCGATTAATTTTAAACAAATAGTTCAACCAAAGGATACCCAAAAAATGTAATTTTATCATTTAAATATTGAATTGTTCTCTCTTAGTAAGATCCCATTTTCAATAAAATTGCGGTCTTACCTTGACTTGAAGATGAAGTCCATTTGTCTATCCTTCTGGACAAAAAATTCTATTACTTTTTTGTAAAAGTCCTCCTTATCTTCTTGTAGTTTCAAAAGTCTATCATAAATCTAATCGATAGATTTATGATTCAAAAATTATAAAAGTAGGGTAGACATGTGGATATTATCCGGCTGAACAAAACGTGCATTTCTCCGCAGGCGATGGACCAGGTCACGGACCCCGGCGTACAGGTCCTGAAGGAGGACAGCGTGGGGCTGCGCTTGGAGGACGTGGTTTTCGGTGACGCAGGCGTTACTCTCCTGTGCGACGTCTCCACAGGCCTGCCGTGGCCGGTCGTTCCCGCCAGTTGGAGGCGCTCAGTTTTCGAGCCGGTGCACGACCTGTCTCACCACGGCGGTAAGCCTTCGGTGCGCTTGGTGTCCGCGAAGTTCGTCTGGCGGGGACTGAAGAAGGACGTGAGGACTTGGGCTGGTGAGTGCGTGGCTTGTCAGCGCGCTAAGGTGCATCGCCACACGAAAGCTCCTTTGGAACGTTTCATGGTGCCGGAGAGGAGGTTTGACCACGTCAACATCGACCTCGTGGGTCCATTGCCCTCCTCTCTGGGTTTTTCCTACCTCCTCACCATGGTGGACAGAACGATCCGTTGGCCGGAGGCAGTTCCTCTCGTGTCGACTTCGGCGGCTGACATAGCCCGGGCTTTCATTGCGACGTGGGTGTGTCGGTTTGGCACCCCGTCGGACATTTCCTCTGATCGGGGTTCGCAGTTCACGTCTGAGCTCTGGAACGCCGTGGCGTGGTGTCTTGGGGTTAAGCTTCACAGGACGACCGCTTATCACCCCCAGGCTAACGGCCTCTGTGAACGTTTCCATCGCTCCATGAAGGCGGCGCTTAGAGCTGGCCTGAAGGACGGAAATTGGGTCGATAAGCTGCCTTGGGTGATGCTGGGCCTGCGGACCGCGCCCAAGGAAGATCTGCAGTGTTCCACGGCTGAGATGGTCTACGGTCAGCCGTTGAGGGTTCCAGGGGATTTCCTCCCTAACACATCGGTTCCCTGGTCGGCGTCTGCACAGCGGGTTTGCCTGCAGGACACCGCCGAGATTTTTGCTCCGATTCCCACTGCCCAACATGGTACTCAGGTGTCCCGGGTTCCCGCGGATCTCCGCTCGGCCGAGCACGTTTTCATACGGCATGATGCGCACAGGGGTCCTCTGCGGCCTCCTTACGACAGACCTTTCCGTGTTTTGGAGCACGGGCACAAAAACCTTGTGGTCGACCTGGGTGGTAAGGCCGAGCGTGTTTCTGTGGACCGGGTGAAGGCGGCCCATTTGGATTTGGGCCAGCCGGTGGTGCTGGCACAGCCTCCGCGACGGGGGCGCCACCCGGCCTTGATCCCTGTCACTGACTTGAGAGCCGTTGTTCCGGTCTCGCCTCTTCCGGAGGCCGCACATGCGGAGGTCGTTTTCCCGACTCCCGTGCTCAGGAGTCGTGGGGGTCGACCTGTCGTGCCGCCCCGCCACGCTAATTTTGTTTATGGGTGAATTCTGGGGGGGCTTGTGTGGTGACACGTTATTATACATAATTCACCAGTGATATTATTGTGTTGCAACTCGGACCCGTTAGTGAGGGTACCGGGGTTTGTTTACATTCCCTGCTAGCTTGTCATGCAGAGCAGTTCATGTACCTACGTCTTAGAGTTTAATGGATAATAAATTGTGGAAGTCCATTCTGAATACACCGCCTCCGACTCCCTTTCATCTGCACTACAATATATATATAAATAAAGACATCTTGTATTTTAGTTACAGCCGCTATTGATTAATTTTGTCAACATTGGACCTTGACACCGTCCACATAGCTATAGTGAATTAATATAATAGAAAACATTAAGCCTCTTTGATTTAATAATCGGAGCTGAAACCTCTCTGCCATCTCATATAACACACACTTCCTTATTTATATTTGAATGATAATAACATAAAAATAAAGACGACTATACTACGGTGCTTCGGTCCTGAGATTAGCGCCTGCAGGCAGGCTCCATGGACCTGTCAGCTCTGGACAGCGCAAAAAGCGTATATGAAGTGCTACGTCACGAACGCAAGAAATCATACCCTCGTGGGGGCGCACTCATGTGATTGGCTTAGAATGGGGAGGCTGTGGCGCAGTGGGCTAGTGCGTTAGTGTTCGAATCAGGGGAGCACAGGTTCAAACACCACTGCACCCAGCATGTCGTTGTGTCCCTGGGCAAGACACCTCACCCCAAATTGCACCTGTGGGGATTGTCCACAGTATTGAGTATGTAAGTCGCTTTGGATAAAAGCGTCAAACAAGTAACATGTCATGTAATGGAGGAGACATCTGATTGGCTATAGATAGAACAAATTACAAGTATGAATCGGGTCACCGTCAGGGGAGTCTCAAAAAACACACACACGAATGCACAGCGATCCGTGCACAGAAAGCAGGTTGTGTTTGCAGGTGCAGCAGTTTTAAACGGAAAACAAATATGTGTGGATCAAAAATACATATGTAAAACTTTTTTCTGTATTTGGATTTTATTTACATGTATATCAAACGGAACACATGCTACACAACCCTCTGAACAACACAACCCTCTGATGCGTGTGTTGGTAGCTTGGCACGCTACTTCTCTGGAACCGTTGCTGCTTCCAGTGCTTCCTCCTGAAGTCTTTGATCACTACCCAGTCGCCGGGCTTGAAGTGGTGTTGTGGTGCATCAGCTGTCGTCTGCAGTACGGCTTTCCCCTGAGAGTGGATAGCTGAGAGGGAGACTGAAAGACTTATACAGTAGTTCAACAAAAGGTAACTTAAATTGTCTCAACTTTCAGAAACTAACATTACATTAACAGAATAATATTCTTTAAATCTGTGCCAGTTCGTCTTGTGCCTTGGGCCATCAAGAGAGCCAGCTTTTCACGCCAAAAGATATTTGTAGCTGCTTTCACAATGATGACATGCTATTCTCTTTTTATTAACCAGTAAAATAGATCTTTACAGGATCAGAATATTTTGAATAGTATTAATCTTTATGGCTTTGTAAGATTATATGTCTCTATTTAACACAATGGACATGATTATCACACTTGTTTCAGTCTTAAATCTGTATTGTCACTGTGCTTTTTAATATGGTCATATCAATAAAGTTAGTATTTCCTGATATTCTTCTTTTTTTTTATATATAAAATGATGTGTGACTTTCTCAAATGATGTGTGACTTCCTCAAAAATATAAAGCATTTAGAAATTCAAACCAGCAACCACACTTTCCCCAGTCACATACTTCAGGATACTTGCTGCAGAGCTGACCTTCTAGGAAAGAGTTGGCATTCCCATGAGCAATGGAGAAAATCTATGACAATGCTGTTGATGTCAAAACCCTAAGCTCAAGATCATCAACAATACAAGAAGGTAAGAGTGTCTGTTAGAGTGCACTGTGGATTTTGGATTTACTGTATTACTCCCTGGTCTTCTCTGTGTTCAGGTCCCAGGAGACTTCCCAGAGCGTCTGTTCTCGGTCTGGGGCTGCTGGGTGTTTTCCTGCTGGCTGGACTCATCGGCCTCGCTGTCCACTGTGAGTCTTTCTTTTAATACCTTTAATAATGTCATTTTGAACGTGTGATTTTAAGGAGCAATATTCTGCTCTGAAAGATGCACATTTGACCAAAACATCTATCGTTTTTCTACTTTTCTCCTAGGGCCAAATTAGGAAAACATTAATTTTGGTTTGTGTCAGTATGATTGCATCAGATAATAAGAAAGATATATTTTCTTTCCAGACCATAACTCAGATGGTGGTGCTGCAGATCTCTCCGCTGTCAAAGCAAACCTGACCTCAATGACTGAAGAGAGAGACAACCTGACTGAGCGTCTCCAGGCCAGAGATCAGCGGATCAACCGGCTGGTGTACAGGCTTCAGTGTTTGATGGGTAAGGGTCAGTGCTTCATGTGGGGGTTTGCATAGGGCTCGGTATGCGTAGGTAAGATATCAATTATCATAATATATTTTACAAAATACCTTGATATTGATAGTTTAAGGCTGACTATTGATCCTTTCATAAAATAGTTACACAATGACACTTTTCATTAATGATAATCAAGAATTAGTTTTTAATGACTTAGTTGTGAGTGATTTAATTTATAGTTTGTTTTATTTTTCTTCACCCACCATATTTATATTTCTGTGTAAACTATGCTTATGGCCATTTTCCTTGTCTAAATTACTTTTAATATAAGCAATAGGAAGAAGAACTTAGAGGTAGTTTGTTCCAGATATTTGCAGCAAAATAATAATAATAATAATAATAATAATAATAATAATAATAATAAATGATAACAAGGTTTCAAACCAATTTAGAACTGTTGCCGAAAGTCAGACCCAGTTTTCCAGTCGGTCTAGTAACTAACACCGAAATGTTGCCACTGTCTGTGTTTAAGTGGATGTCATTGAAGACTTTAACAAGATCAGTCTCAGTGCTGTGGTGCCTGACTAGATCACATCGAAACAGTTATTTAAATCCCAAAAAGAGAGAAGTAGTTGTTCTGCAATGAAATGTGTGATCTCTTTTCATCCCTCTAAAAATGCTTAATAAATATTTGTTTTCATTATTATTACAAAAGTGACATATAATGCACTCAAGAGTTCCATATTTCAGCAGTTGAAGCAGTAAATCTACAAGATCTTAAAACTTTTACAGAGAAAACGTGTCCTGAAGGATGGAGGAAGTTCGATTGTTCCTGTTACCTCTTCTCTACTGAGAAACGTTCTTGGGAACAAAGCAGACAAGACTGCACAGCCAGAGGAGCAGATCTGGTGATCGTAGACAGTGAGGAAGAACAGGTAATGTGTGCTGCTTTAACACTTGTGATTGTATAACCCTCTGCTTTTATCAATCAATAATGTTTTTATTATACATATACTAGCAAATGTGTCTATCAGCTATAATGATTACGTTACAACAATGGTGTTAATTACATATTTCTGAGCTAGTAAAAAGGGAAAAGTTATCTGAATGTTGATGTCCATCCCAGTAAACTGCATTTTTAATATGTGAACAGGAATTCATCACTAGCATGATCAAGGAACAAACGTGGATTGGTTTGAATGACACAAAAGAGGAGGGGACCTGGAAATGGGTGGATGGATCTCCACTGAATCTGACGTAAGGCTTTACTTTGGTTTTAAATACAGAAGCTGGTTTATGTTGTGACCTTTCTAAATGTTTCACATGTTTCTGTAATGGGAGTTAACACAACACACAGGATGCATTTAAACGTAGGGTGTCTGCCCCTTTCACCAGAAGACTCATTTGGGTGTTAAGAAAAGAACATGGCTGTATTACTTATAGTTATTTTTGATGTCCAATCTTTTAGTTCATCTTCTTTTCCTGTAATACCTGTTAGGTTTTGGAGCACAAGACAGCCTGATAATTTTGACGGAGAGGACTGTGCAGAAATACGGAGTATTGTTCACTCCAAAAGCTGGAACGACAGGCCCTGTACGTACGATCTGCATTGGATCTGTGAGAAAGAAGCTTGACATTGGTGTCTGTTTGGATACTAAACATGCAATCATGCTTTTACAATTGAGTTTAAATGGAGTTATTTAAAACTATACACAATGTCTGATTTCATGAATAAGAATTACTTTGCTCGAATTGATAAATAACATGTTTTTAGTGGTTTTTTTTTTAAATTAAAATCAGTTATAAATAAATAGTAATTTAATTTGTTTTGGCCAACTTTTGTTTGCCTCAATTAAATTAGTATTTGTATTCATCCTTTTACATATCAACATAACAATTGCTTATTAAAAACATCTGCTGATAAGCCCACAATTCCTGAAAGTGATAATATTGAAGGTGCCTTATTGAGCAGAATATGATACAAAAAAGAAAAATAATAACTGTCAAACATTATTGAATAATTCAGACATATACAACAATACTCTAGTCTCAGCATTGGTCTAACTTGTTCAAATGTGTAAAATAGCCTGTGTGTTATACAGTATGTTTCCTAACAATGACCTCTTGTGGCCATGTGAGTACAAATCTATTGCAGGTATTTAACATGCATAGGTACCAGACACTTTGTACATACTATAAGAACTAGTGCTGTCAATGAATACAAAAATGTATGTATGTTTATCACAATAATATTCTGGGACTTTAACTGCAGGATTTTCTCATGTTTCATTTAAAAAGTAAACTGCCTTTTATTTGAAGTTAATTACAGTACTTTAGTAAATGGGCAAATTAGATATAGCTAGATCAGGAAATGGCAACTTTCTTTGAGCATGCATACAAAGATAAAAACCGTAAAAATAGATTGTGGGTGTATTACATGTTCTCTGACAAGATAAAGCTCTTCCACTTCAACAAACTGCTGTTATCAGATAAAAAGCAGCTTTACCACTTCACCTTTTTTTCTCAAAGTGAACAAATCCTCCCTGAAAGTTATCTTTGAAATGATGTACACTTTTTATATTTATGATCAGCGGCAGACAGAGTACTTCAGAGGAAAGACATTTGTGTTTATCAGCATTTATAATCAAGATCCCTGCCTTCACAACAATGTCATGCTATTCTCTTTTTATTAACCAGTAAAACAGATCTATACAGGATCAATACATTTAGAATATTATTCATCTGTATGGCTTTGTAAGATGATATGTCTCTATTTAACACAATGGACTTGATTATCTCACTTGTTTCAGTCTTAAATCTTTATTGTCAATGTGCTTTGACAATAGTATGTTTTTAATATGGGCATGTCAATAAAGCTTACTTGAATTTGTCTTGACTCTCAACTCTTGTTCTGTTGTCACATGTGTTATCATTATTTTCAGTTTACCCGTGCAGGGTTAAGTATGGATGCACTGTTGGGAAATACAAGAAAGGTGATACAAATTATGTACACAGGTTTAGAAGCTCTAAAAGGTGCATTTTTGAGAAGTGATTGGAGAACTATGTGTAAAGGAGAGTTGTTACAACACAGAAAACACCAGAATTTAAACTATGAACATTAATATAATTTCACTAATAGTTAATGGTGGGGTAGGTAAGTTTGAGAAACCGGCTCGAGATACACTTTTTGTTATATTCCATGGAATGCTCTTAACATCCCGATAGCAATGAATATCTTAAGTGCTTTGACAAAAAATCCATTAAAAAATGTCATCTGTGGAAGCCGTAGTACTGTAAAAAGCACGACCAATCATTTTAGCCGGCCCGGCTAAAATAACTGGATGGCCTACCTGCCTGCCAGCCTTCCATCTGTGCACAAACTTATCTCGTGCCCTCATTGGTCATGTGCACGTTCGTGTGTGTTGGAGGAGGGGCTCTGTAAGGAAGTGGCAGATTTGTTCCGGCTGTGTATTTTCAAATTCTAGCGCACTCGAGCTGGTTTCTCCAAAATTACCTACCCCACCTTTAATGGCCTAAACAACCCAATTAAAAAAGTGCTTATACAAATGAAACATCAAGGTGGAGATATTGTATTTATGCAAGAAACACATCTGTCAAAAGTACTGTGTGTGTGTGTGTGTGTGTGTGTGTGTGTGTGTGTGTGTGTGTGTGTGTGTTTTCTTTTATGTTTCTGCTCCAGGTTGCAACATTGTTGATACATTCAAGCACCGACAACTGTCTGCTCTCAAATTCCCGCATTATGTCTTGCGGGAACCAATGAAGTCCAGGGCAAATAATTGCAAGTCTCTTCAGTGGCATGTCACAAAACGAGATGCATTGTGGTACATGTAGTTTATGGGCAACCTGCTTCTGTAAAGCGGCATATAACCGTATAATAAACGTTTTATATTCTTTGCAAGCTCTTGCGGGGCCACATAAAATGAAGTCGCGGGCCGGATTTGGCCCCTGGGCCTTGAGTTTGAGACTCCTGCATTAACCCATTGAGTTACAGGATACAGAGCCCTTTAACAGTAAATACAGTGTTTTCATAATTACATTAGTTCAAGGGGGGCAAAGAAGGAAGAAAAAAAAAAAGCACAGAGATAAACACAAAGAAAGCAAATAATAATAATGATAATGGAATAGAAAGAGAAAAATTATGAATCAATAATATATAAATATATATTAAATGCTCACAGCTCACCGCTCAATCCAACCTTATTCTTTATCAAGTGGATCTTGCAAGGAGTCATACAAGTCCAGAAAGGGTTTCCATGTTCTAATAAAGGTGTTAGAGGAGCCCCTGAGTAAGAACTTAATTTTCTCTAACTGTAAGAAGTACATAACATATTTGACCCACTGAGAAAAGGATGGAGGGGAATGTTGCTTCCATTTTAGAAGAATCAAACGTCTCGCAAGAAGTGTAGAAAAGGCTATAACTACATGGGCACTGTTTGGTAGGGTCTGGGTGATTTTTTGAGACTAGCTGTCACTCTATCCAGAGTGGCAACCTGTTTTCATATCGACTTTCTTCTTCTTCCTCCAGGCCTGAGCGTTGGGAGGAGGTGAAGAGGGCGGTGGACTGGGTCTGCTGGGCGGACCGGCAGTACCCGCGTGTCTACAGCCGGCTGGAGTTTGGATTCAGCTGGGAGTCCTCCACCCGCCAGCTGCTGGGCTTCAAAGGCCTCCCTCCCTTCTCCGCTCTCAGGGGACTGAACCTGCAGAAGACCGTCCCCCAGGTTCTGGTCCACTGAGCAGGATAGTGAGAGGGAGGTTCATACCCCTTTGCCTTTTTATGGGTATTACATCATCTATTGGATGTATTTGTAGCCCTTTTATTCAGTCAGTGTGTTTACATGTTCTCAAATAGGTAGATACAATTGGCTTACTGCAGACCTGATTTATTAAACTTAAACTGCTTTGGGTCTACATATCGCCTTTTCTGCATGTCAGCATCTTTTTTCAAATGTATTCCAATAAGGGGAGAGCTTATACTGTTTTACACCGTGGTCTTCAGAGAAAGAGTTGCACCCCTCGTCTTTCTTCTGACCGTTCCACCGTTTTGGTCAAGTTGAAAATATTTAAACTTTCCAGATAAACGCTGTTGACGTCACTGAAGGAAATGACTGTCTCACTGTCAGACAGTAACCATCATAACAACGACAAAAGAGCCTGTTTGTTGGAGCAGATCTGCCAGTGAGTGTGTGGCTTTTATCGTACCATACACATATCATCCTCCTCACTCTAAGGCTGTCACACTGAAGCTGTGACGCTCAATCACACAAAATGTGAGAACAAGCATCCTCCTGTTTGTTCTCATAGACACAATGTCCAACAAATACATAGCAAAAATCGATAATAAAATCCAAGGGGTGAAGCTAGTCTGTAATACAACAATGGTGATACAGTGTCAAGGTATTGCTGTCATAGAAACAACAAAACAACCCTTGGAGCGTTATGTGGACACGCCCTTATTCGGGGAAAGAGGATTTAAAGGCTAGATTACATTTCATGGCCTGATACTTATCATCTTGTTCACATGCATGCAAGTCCACAACAATGCCTTCAGACAGAGATAGCATCATTGTGACCAGTGATAAAAGGGAAGGTCACGATGAGTAGCAGTCTATTTGCATGTTTGTAATCCTCTCATCAAAAATTAGTCAAAACCAAAACTAATTCCGCAGCTACTACTTCTTCTAAATATTTTACTGGTAAATGTAGTCACAGCTGTCTTCCCACAGTTGAACACACAGTCACATGTTATTATAAAATAAGGAAGCAGTGCCTTTGTGCCCAAAAAGGGTCAGTTTCTTGGGAACATCTTGGACTGACCTGCTGAAGGTGTGTTTTGCTTCTCTGAGTAACCTTGTACATGTGAATCTTTTTTTGTCTTGTGTTTCATTTATAACTGCCTTTTAAGCACCTTTGATTATTTTAGTGTAGGATATAGGATTTTCTTTCACAGTATATGCAGTTATATATCATGGTAGCAGTATAAATCAGGGTACAGTATAGTATTGTTCTGTAAATTCAATAAGAAGTGGATTAAAACAACCAGTTTTTTGATTATTTTCCTCTTTTATTTGGAACTATAATATTAACAAAATCAACCGACTCACGAGAGACAAAGCCAAAGACTTAAAACCTTTAAAATTCTGAATGTGAAACACGTTTTAAGGTTAAACGGTGCAAATAACTTTGACTTTGAAATAAATATCAGTGTGACCTCAGTCAATGCAATATGAAGCACCATAAACATCCCACAAGTTTTCATTTCAATATATACCAAAATAAACAAGACTTTAACTGCAGGATTTGCTCATGTTTCATTCAAAAAAGTAAAGTAAAACTCCCTTTTATTTGAAGTACATTACAGTACTCGAGTAAATGTGTAGCTAAATCAGGAAATGGCAACTTTTTTATACAAGATAACACTTATTATAAAAATATGGTGGGTGTATTACATGTTCTCGGACAAGATAAAGCTCTTGCACTCAACAACTTGCTGTTATCAGATAAAAAGCAGCTTTACCACTTCCCATTTTTTCTTAAAGGTCCCCGATCATGCAAAATGCACCTTTGATGTCTTTTATCCCTTACGCAAAGAAAATATATTTCCCCATATATTAACTGTCAATATATTGCATTATTTTGTTTTCTGATTTACTGGTTAATTGAAAAGATTTAATAAAGGAAATCTTGCTGTTGGCTACACCAAGTGATACTGATTAATAATCAACATGAAAAACATATTTATTCATATCT